TCCTTCAACTGCGTCCAAGACGCGGGGGTTGTAATTGGTCCGTTGGAATCTTGTTTGCACAGGGGGTTTTCACCCATTCCATGTATACTTCCCTAATCCTCCCCCGCTGGATGGACCTATGAGGGAGTCGTAGGGCGGAAATTGGGTAGAATTTGTACCGTGCGACTTTCTCTAAGCCCATTCAGGGGGGGGGGAGCACAAGGGAAGGAGTACTCTTTAAATTGGTGAAAATCCGCTATGCAAATAAATTTTCAGCGCGGTCAAATATAACACCCGCCTCGTTATCCCGCTGAGGCTTCAACCCACGGATGTACCCCTTTGCGAAGTGCATGCGTGCTAAAGGCGTTTCATCTCCAATAGCACAGGAAAGGGCATCCTGCTACTTATCGATTCTCTGAAGAGTCTGTCTAGCACGGGTTTCACCCCTTCGTTGGGCTTTCTGCAGAAACAGAAACTTGTTTTAGTGTATTAGATTGTGAAGGAAATGCCGTAACCCATTAGCTTTGTCATTAACTGCCATATGTAATTAATCGTCGCGAATGAATCACCCAGATTATGATCGGAATAACGTCATTTTCGTGTTCCACCTGGGATTTGTGAACGTGAACGAAACGGGGTACAAATGACTGGGAGGGTCGGGAGTTGAGGAAAGAGACAGTGGGTGGAATATAATGAGTTAGGACGAATGAATATCAGATCGGATGATGACGTAATCTAGAAGGAAAGCCGTATGGCCAAGAAAGTTCTGGAGATAGGGCACTACCAGATCCCTACTTGAAGGCACATTCCGTGGTAATGGGGTGGGTGGAGTCATATAGACCGTCGCGTTTTCTTTTTTCTTTCACTCTTCTCTTTGCCATCTTGGAAGGAAGAACCCACTGAGAAGGAGCTAGCTATATAAGTGACTTCTCCCACAAAATCACCGTGCCCTTAGCGTTCCCGGCGGCCATATTTTTTTTGCAGTGTTGAATGTATTCTTGGATTTCGCTCTGCGTGCTGTGGGGGTCAGATAGTTCTAGTTCTTGGGTTGTGGCACCTGCAAATATGGTGCTGTAAAGAATTTTAGGAGGATGTAAATCGGTTCAGTAAGACTTCGCCAAGGACTGGGTTTAGCGCGGCGCCAGCCAGTTTTCCACCAGTTGTGGCCGCCTGCCAGCTTGAGCAATTGATGCAGAATGGGCTGGCGCCGCGCCAAAGGCGATGTGATCGCTTCAAAACTGTCAAAATCGTGACGTTAATCGGTTCTCGTGCTCTGCTCATTCTTAATTTTATTTCAGGCGGTCCAAATAATTGCGGGTATGATGACGAGAATGGTAGCTATCAACTGGTCGCCCATGATCATATCGCCTATCGATACGAGATCCTGAAAGTCATCGGCAAAGGTTCCTTTGGCCAGGTTCGTCCCGCTCTCCACTAGCCTAGTTATTCGTTGTGTTTCGAAACCAGCTATGTTCCTTGTTATTTTACTGGCTATGTTTTTATGGACGTGTGCAACCTTTAGCGGCTATGTTGCCGGAAGGCAATCAAGCCGCTCAATGACATGTTTCTGTTCTCATGTCCTCTTAGGAGCGGCGCTGCCCTCTCCAGCGACAGGGATGGTGGCACACCCCCGCCGTCTAGGGTCCCTTGCGCACATGCGACGGCGTTGATTATGTTATTGCTGTGTGAATAAGGCGAATCGATCGCTCCCTTGCTTCAGCGCTGACAGCTTACTAAAGCGTCCATCGTCGTGTCGCAAGTGGCACCAGTTGAGAGGGTCCGAATGGGAGAGGGTTGAACGAGGCTGAACTCAGAGAAGAGAACTAACTTTATTAGTTATCGGGTGCAACCTCACAGACGAAAATTCTTGCCCAAATATTTCATGAAAAAACAATAAATTAGTTGAAAATCGAACCAGTAAGGTACGTCGGGGGTAGAAAAAGAAAGATTCAGCCCAGTTTCTCTTCCACCATTAGAACCCGCCGCAAACATTCCGGATAAGGGAAAACATCCGCTCCGAACGCCTGCTGACCATACAAGATTTCGAGTTTAGAAAAACAGACGGGTTAAAGTAAACCCAAAAATCGCTGCGAACATAGATTGCGGATCCGTGAACGCACCAAATTGAGCATACCGTAAGCCGGTTAAAGTACCCATGCTTATGAGCCTAAGTTATACGCCTCTTGCACAGCTCGGTTGAAGTACATTTCATTATTGACTTGGGATCATGCGAGCGCTCGCGCGAGAAGTGGAAGGGAAGGGGGGAGGGATAGAAAGCTCCGAGGTGAGGCCTGGAAATTAGAGCGATCCTAATTCTGCTTTCCACCTGTGACCAGTGTCGCGTAGGCTAAAATTGAGTGGTGTTGTATGCGTGGCGAGTTCCGACTTGCGTAATATTCTCACGATGGCGAACGTATCCGTGAGTTTTCCTTAGCGCTATGATATTGCCCTGCGTGGAACTATTTAATGCGCATTGTAGTTTTTGACTGGTATCTCCGGTTAACACTCCTCCATATACCGTTCTCCTCTCCCGTGCGTGATTTGATACTCCGAAAGCTATTATTTCGTCCCCTGATACGAGTCAGTCAGGGTAAAACCTACCGTATATTATGATACTCTAGGCTATTTTGGGTTCAGGGTTGTGTAGAGTGTGTACTTTAAGGGAAGCGTTCTCCGTGGTTTCATTTGGCAGATTACTCTTTATTTACTCGGTGCACGTGTCCTTTTCTCACATTACATCCTCTATGAAACTTTATCCCGTACTGGAAAGGGTACGCATCCTTCAAGGGCTTCAGTGGATCGATAGGGCCTAGTACGGGAATAGAGGATGGTATCATGTTCCAGGAGCGGAAATGAAGTAGTAGCTAATGAAGCTGTTTATCACGCGTGGTCGAATCTCATATCAACTTCTGGCCTTTCCAGCCCACTCCTATGATGTTGGTTAGTTGGTACAAAGCTGCTTGGGGACATGAAAACATTGGCTTGTACATCGGCTGAACCGCAAGTCGTAGTAAAAGCTATCTAATATTCAAAATGGCAGTACGATTGTGAATTAAGGTGGAATGCACGGCGTATCCCAAGAAAGATCCGACCGACACCGAGAGCTTCAGCATCCCTTTATATTTTTATGACGCGATGCACTGCCGAAGTGACCTAAATTGATGCTTCCATGGTCAGTTGATACTGCTGGTCGCCATTCGAAACTCCCCGAAGAGATTGTTTGGGCGAATGGTGTTGTACTGAGCTAGTCACGCTCCCCCTGATTGACTACTTAAAACAGAGGGGGAACGAATTTCCAATGGGACTTCGATTTGTTTGTGGTGGCAGTGGTGTGGGTGGTGGTCATGTGAGGGAGCCTCTGCTGCCGATGGCTGTCTTCATTTTTCATGGCCCTCCTTGAGTGAGCAAAAGCTTCTAAGGCTGCGCTCCCGTGGATTTCATGCACTTTTTCTGAGTTTTCGAATAGAAGAACGCATGAAGTCGAGCAGCGGCGATTAGCACTTGGTGGTTACCCGAAAGGTGCCCTTTGGAGGGCCATTCAGCTACTATACGAGCAATTGTTCGCTGAGTAAGCGAGCCTCCTTTTGCAAGGTGGGGAGGTTCGCGATATACGGTAGCGATATTGTGAACCATCGAGGACGTTCGTCATAGTTACAGACGTGTATCCAACGGGAACGCTTTGTCATTCATTCACGGGAGATTCGTGTGGCACGACATCTGCCGTTGCACTTTTAATGAATTCGAAAAAGTTAGGGCTTCCCAGTTGGATGTTTTTGAAAGAGCTGACATTGGCTCCCGAGCAAGGGTAAATTACTGTAAATAAAAGAGGAAGGAGGGGGGAAGGGGAGAAGGTTACAGTAGGATCAGCTCAAAGTCACGACTACATGAAATATGGAGTTCCAATAGTTCTACTGCAGTTTGGGCCTCAAAGACACATCTGGGGGTGCAAGTCGTGAGCAGTGGGTTCCAAACACCAAGAATAGTCCCAGATGACTTAAAAAAATCGATGAAGCTGTCCCAAGCACGAACACTGATGAGGCTTGTAACGCTCAAGAAGCTGCAAAGTGGGACAGGGGAACCGCATCAGTACAGGGGCTCGCAGGTCCTGACAAGGTAGCCTGTACGGGCTTCGCTCGGTGCCATTTGGTGCCCCACTAAGCCGAATCATATCAGCAGGCTTCTTAATTTGCGGAATCGACTTTTGTTATTCGAGCTTGTTCAAGTCCCTTGAAGGATTAATCATCGCCCGAGCTGTTTATTCGTTCTAATTGCCATCCAAGTGGGTTGTGTTTAGTGCGGGTACGAGGGCAATGATCCCAGCTCGCAACCCAAGGATACAAGAAAGACTGGGAAAAACTGACGAGTGAGCACTATATTCGTAATTTTTCGCCATGAGTAAGATTATCGCTCGGCTCGGCTAATTGAATAATCATGTTTGCAAGGAGTCCGTTGTGCGCTGAGGAACCGAAGCGTTGTTGAGGCGTGGTATTGCCCAGACAAAATGAGTAAACACTTGAGAACGAGCTTTAGCGGCCAGTCGGACTCTCGACTGGTACACATGCATAGCAAAATGACTTGAGCGCTCTTTATGAGTCAGAAGTATGTATGGTGTCCATCTGTCTTCCTGGGAAAGATAGGCCCTTTAATTAGAACTGGAATCAGCGCGGAGTTTTACAGGCAGTAATTGCAATGAATTTAAGATCGCAGGGACGCCTTGAAATAAATAAGGCTGCTGCATAATTTGCAAAAACTTGGATCAATAGAAATGTCCAGAAGCGTTCATTGCTTCTTCTATTCGGCTCGTTGAGAGATGTCTCACGGGACTAAAGAGGACTCGAGAAACCCAAGTCAGAGCACGTCATACGTTGGGGATCTCCAGAAGCAGGGCACATCGTTGTTGGGGAATCCCGCAATAGGGGGGGGGTCGTATTTGGCCGCCAGGAGAGGGAGGGGTCGTATTTGGGCTGGAGAAAATTTATTTTGAATTTCCTCACTTCACGGACGTTGTAAAAGGGGGGATGGGTCCGTATCTTGGTCATTGTTGGGAAGGGGGGGGGGGTCGTATTTACGTTTTGGCGTTGTAGGAGTGGTGGTTGACTTCTGATGATTTTCCTGTTTCATGCGTTACTATATGCCGTATGCATACATGTGCTATTTACCCCGGGGTCGTACCACCCCCCCCAAGAAAAAAAAAGGGGGGGGGCGTACAGACTCGACTAAACTCCCTAACCAATGATGTGCCCTGAGGAAAGAGTTTAGTCGCTACGTCGAGAGGGGCCATTTTGCAAGCATCTTCCCAAATGGCAGGACGTGTCCCGGTTCGGAGCAAATGCAACGAATTCCTAGACGTTTTTCAGAGTATAACACTGAAGTTCACTGTGAGTTAGTCATAAGCAGTCAGACAGGTGGCCGATCACTACAGCTGCAGTGGCCCTCCGAAAAAATCCGTGCGATAAAATAATTGAAATTCCGCCGAAAGCGGACTGGAGACATCTTGTGTTCGATTGGTCCTTCTAAGGGAGACTAGATTATAGAAATTCAAACCTTTTAGTGGGGTTTCCAGCATTACAGAAATGACGTTGATGTTTTGCTATCGTCAGTAATGGAAGGGCGGGAAGGTGGTGTAGTGGCAAGGTGGCACGCTTACGCACGCGCAGTTCCGTTGTATCAAGAACTTTTGTCGGCTAGCGCCCATCCAACCAAGCCTAACTGCCTCGCTTGTACCGAGATTCGTCTAGGAGATAATAACACTGAATTGGTTAAAATTGCTGACCTCCAACAAGTCAGCAGCATTCAATAAGTCCAGCTGCGATTTGAGTATGGAAGTAGAATGCGCGCCGCATCCCGAAAAGGATTCGGCGAAGACTTAATTTTTATTATGCGTGGATAAGATGGTGCCGTGAAGACTCCTCTACGGAAAAGTGGAAATTGGGCGATGTTGATAACTGGGAATTTATTCGTATTAAAACTGACGAGGGTCTACAGTAATGGAGAACAGGTCTGGTCATTTCTAAAAATATTTTTGTTTTTACGTCTGTTGACAGTCACTGTTTATTGACTAAGTTTATATTCACCGTCTTTGATTCGCAATGCATCAGTATTTTTCTCCGGTAAATTGGTGGTTTAGGAAGAATCCATGGATTTGGGGGTCGTATTTGAGGAGGGATGGGTGGGGAATAAGTTGGTGAAGGAACTTTACTCGTCATCTTGGAGTGCCCCGCAACCGCTTGGGATCCCATTAATACGATGTTTTTCCGAAAAAATGTGGAGTCAGGCGCAGTAGCCTACCCTTTAGATCCTTCGGCAAGGATCTTTCAAAGGCATGATTTGAAAGGGTGTGGAGCATTATTTCCCATCGCGTGAGAGTTGAATTGGATGATAGGATCGACGCGCAGCGCCGTTACCATGTGTGGGTAGTGGTCCTGGTGGGGTGTCTAT